TCATGCAGGTTTTGGTCAAAAACTGTTGAACACACAGCGTAGTGTGGGCAGGTTGTATAGATCACTCATCATGAAATAAGCAAAACTGTTGAAAGAATATCCACAAAAAAATTCAGTGAAGCCAAATGCAGCCTCTCACAACAACATTAGCTGGTATACTGATGCCCATGGGTTTCTAGCACTTACCTAACAGGGGAAGCCTGTATTACAAGGGGTTGACCCTCCAAAAAATAATTCCATTGGGGGGGGGCAACACCTCATAAATGAAAAAGGAAAAGACCTAAAACAATCTTGAAAAAGAAGAAAAAAGTGAAGGGAATCACGGTACTTGATGTTAAGGCTTACTATGGAGTTAACATGATTAAGACACTTAGAACAATGGGACAGAATGAAGAACTCAGAAATAGACCCATATTGATGTGTTCCACTAGGTTTTGACAATGATCCAAAAGTAATTCAATTGAGGTAAGATAGTATTTTCAACAAATGGTGCTGAAGCAACTAGATTATGGCGGTCATTACATGAATCTATACATGTGATAACATTATATAGAACTAAACACACACACACACACACACACACACACACACACACACACACAGAGTACATGTAAAACTGCTGAACTCTAAGGGCTGTGAATAGTACCAGTGTCATTTTCCTGGTTATGACACTGTACCCTAACTACCATTAGAGGACACTTGATGAAGGATACATAAGATCTTCCATATTATTATTCTTTAACACCACAGTCAACCTTAGAAGATTTTTATCACATTGAAAGTAAACCCTACCCCCTTAAATCATCATTCTCCTGTGCCTCTCAGCATACCACACTCCTAAGCAACCACTAACCTATATTTTGTCTCTACAGATTTGCCTATTCTGGACATTTCATATAAATGGAAGCATACAGTATGTGGTATTTTGCGACTACTTTCTTTCATTAGCCAAACAGTTACAAAGTTCATCCATGTTGTAGTATACATCAGTAGTTCAAGTAGTTTATTCCTTTTTCTGGCTAAATAACAATGTATCGTATGGACATACCATAAATTGTTTATCCATTTATCAGCTGATGAACATTTGTGCTGTTTCTATCTTTTGGCTAAATACTGCTATAAACACAACTATACAAGTTTCTGTGTGCATATACACTTTCAATTCTCTTTGGTAGGTATATACCTAGAGGTGGGACTGATGGGTCAAATGGCAGCTCCATATTTGATCAACTGAAGAACTGACAGACTGTTTTCTAAAGTGGTTGCATCATTGTACATTGCCATCAGCAGTGGGCAAGGGTTTCAATTTTTCCATAGTCTCACCAGCATTTATTATCTGACTTTTAAATTCTGTGTTATTTTGACAACTTCCTGTGAATCTATAATTACTTCAAATAGAAAGTTCAAAAAATAATTTGGTGTATTTTGTTATAAGACAAATAGTCATGGCAACAAATAATAGTAATTTTGCTCCTCCATTCCCTAATGCAATGCTTTTGATTTCATTTTTATATCTTACTGTATTTTCCAGTATTTCCTAAACAATGCTAAAGCGTAATGAGATGGTAGACACACTTGTTTTGATCCCAATTTTTATAGATTTCTCTTTGGCATTTTTTTTTTTTTTTTGAGTTGGAGTCTCACTCTGTCGCTGAGACTGGAGTGCAGTGGCGGCTCCCGGCCATCGCAGCCTCGACCTGCTGGGCTCCAGTGATCCTTCCGCCTCAGCCTTCCAAGTAGCTGGAACTACAGGCGCGCGCTACCACGCCTGGCTAAATTTTTGATTTATTGTAGAGATGAGGTCTCGGTTGCCCAGGGGGTCTCGAACCCGCGGTCTCAGGCAATCCACTCACCTCAGCCTCCCAAGGCGCGGGATTACAGGCTGAGCCACCAAGCCCGGCTGCTCTCTCTGGCATTTTTGTTAAGTATGATACTGATGACAGGCTTGAAACAGATACTCTGTCATGTTGAGCAAGTATACTTATATTTGAGCATTTTAAATTAAGCTTTATCAGAAGTAGATGTTGAATTTTATCAAACACTTTAGTGGCTTTTTATAAAAAATATGATGTCATCTTATTTAACCTATTCATCTGATTTACAAGGTTCATTAGTCCATACTATTAAATAATTCCTGAATTTTCCGTTGTACCTCTTTTCAAATAAGGCAAACTATAGTCAAGTAAATTATATTTATTACCAGTAATTATAAAATAAAATGGCATATTAAACAAGACAAGTGAGGAAAAAAAGGAAAGTGAGCAATGTGTTATTAATATTGCATAAAATGACAAAATAAAATTAATAAAAACTTGAATATCTAATATGTTTATAAAAGTTGCAAATACTGTCTACTTTCTTAGCCCTCTCTTCCCTTCAAAGAGAAGTAATTTTTAAAAAATAAAGGAGGGAAGGAGAGAGGGAGGGGAAAGGAAGAAGGAAAGTAAAGAGAGAGAAAGGGAGGGAGAAAGGAACGAAAGAAATATCAATCACTTTCTTGTTTTGCCCTAAATAATTTGTAAAAGGAGATCTGGTTTGATCAAACCTTCAAGACCCTGCTAAACCAGATCATCTGTGCTCTCCACCTACAGTTATCCTACTGACAACGGACAGATTTTTCTTAGACCCTAACTTGTCTTTGGAGAACAAATTTCTTTTCTCTACAATTTGCTGTTCAATTATCTTCCTTTCTAATTAACTACAGTTTTCTATGTGTTGGTTATTATCCTAAATTTACTGACTAAACTCAAGAGGTACAACAGTTTTTTTAGCACATCATTGAATTTAACTGTGCAAAGTCTAATTGTATTAATTGAAGATGATGTGAATTCAAGAGACGAGTTTCATACTTGGAGGACCACAGAAAAGTTCAAGAACACAGATGGAAATTGCTACCCTGTGCAGTGGTCATGCTGAAAATCTGTTTAATCTTTGTCACTGTGAGGTGTTAAAACTCACTCACTACTGGCTGCCCTTCTCAATAATGAATGAAAAGCTCTTCTCCTCCTACAATGAGCAGATCTCCCTATGATTTCTGGGCATGGAGGGGGAGCTAGGATAGTGGAGGCAGGTGACTTCCTCTCAAATGGGGTCATCCCAGTTAAGGCAGCACAGCCAATGGTTGGGGGAAATGGTTTGTGAGTCAGAGAAACCTGAATTCAAGTTCTGGCTGCTTCAGTTATTAGCCTTATGGTCCAGTTGAATCATTGGCTTTCTCTGGGCCTCTGTGTCTCCATTTAGATAAAGAAGAAAGTATTAGTAGTTTTTCCACTGGGTCGCTGATAAGTTTGAATGAGACATGCCTGCCATATAGCTGTTTACCAAATATTATTCTTGTTATTCTTTTTTTAGATTGGAAAATATACTTTATTTAGAAAGTAAATGTGAGTGAGAGTGAGAGAGTGAGAAAGAGAGAGAGAGAGAGAAGACAGAGGAGAGATTCACCTCCCCAAGGTAGGGGAGGGAACTGAGGCTAGGAAACATGGCGGCCATAATTCAAAGAGCCATGTGGACACATCAGAGTTTAACAAAACAATGGCCATTCTTTCATTTTTGTTACTCTTAATATTGCTAAGTGGAGTCACTGTTGAATGGTATCCATGCCATTCAAAAATTCACCAATGGTTTAAAACCGCCACTAAATGTAAAAGATTCAACCTCTCAATTATTTTTCTTAAAAATGAGGTGACTGCCATACGCTTTCTTCATTGGCAAGGTCCTCAGTGATTTCTGGTGTAAAACTGGGAGCTGGTTTGGTTGATGCTGCTTATCAGCATGAAGCATATGCCTCTCTAAGTCTAACATCCTGAGTCTACCTTTCTCTCAAGAAAAGCATCTCAGAGGACTGCATCACTTCTTCTTCTGCTGTTCTCAGCTGTGGGGAAAGACACACCCTGAACCCACCCTGTCTTTGTCTTTCTACCTTCCATCCCTGGATACAGCTACGGTATAGGTGGTTTACACTCCGTCTGCTGTAAGCAACACGGAAATCTCAATATGTAGTAGAACTTCCTCCAGGGACAAGGACAAGATGCAGAAGGCCTGAAGTCACAACAAAACAAGTAGAAATCTGTGAAACCTATTTGTTGGACAACTAAAAAAGAGCACCATTTTCCTGAGATCAAGAAGAGCAGCCGGGTGCAGTGGCTCATGCCCGTCAACTCAGCACTTTGGGAGGCCAAGGAGAGGAGATTGCCTGAGTCCAGGAGTTCAAGACCAACTTGGGCAACTTGGTGAGACCGCGTCTCTACAATAAATGAAAAAAATTAGCTGCGCATGGTGGCACGTGCCTGTGGTTCCAGCTACTTGGAAAGCTGGGGCACAAGGATTGCCTGAGCCCAACAAGTTGAGATGGCAGAGGCCGTTAAGTGTGCCACTACACTCCAGCCTAGGTGAAAGAGTGAGACTCTGACTCAAAAACAACAACAAAAAAGCCAAGTGGGGACAAAGCTAATGGGAGGATTTTCAGTCAACTGAAGATGATATCCAGGGAGAGCCTACCTCATGGGTTGAATTTCAAAGACATACCTCTTTTCCTCCAGTAGGAGATAAACAGTTCCCATGAAAACAGATCTGGAGGCTATAACAGTCCTAAGACCTGTCTTAACGTATGCAGTAAGTACCACGTCTACCACATGAATTCGATTTGGTCTGCCTGTTGAACAGCCTTCACTTAGTCCAGAAGACCCTTGACAGTCATACATGAGACATTATCAGGGAAAGTAGTAACAAGCCAAAGTGAACTCATTCTTTCAGGGACTTTCTAGCATGACAGTGATCTGAGCCAAGACCCACCTGCCTGAGGCCCACAGGCAGCCAGGCTCACTTACCAGCCGGCAGCTCATGCCCCTCGTGTATGTGTTGCAGGTCAGAGCTGAACAGATGCCCAACTTACAAATACTAGAGGTCTGGGTATGGCAAACTAGGTGTAACAGAAAATGCTTGAACAAAAGAAAAAGAGGTGGCAGAGGCGAACGCTCTCCCCATACTGCCCAACTCACCTTCACCAGGAAGAAGGACACCCCGTATGTGCGGAGGGACCGGGCGAGTTTGACGTACTTGACCTTGGCTTCGATTTCACTCATTTCTCCACAGTTCTTATGCTCCTGCAAGTGACAGTAGCCAGGGACTGGTTATTGCAGCTCTGCCAAAAGGTAGACTTGGTGAGAGACAGTGATTACACGCAATGGCTACAGTGGCTCTGAGTGATCCGTAAGTGGCACTGGTGACCCCTCCATGACACAGGCTTCTCTCAACCAAGAGTCAGAGCACACAGAAAGCTCCAGTGCAGGGCTTTCCAGCCTGAGTCCGAACCCAAGCAGCCGATGTGTTTCACAACTAAATATGACAATACATGCATAGGTACAGCGTGGCAAGGACAGGATCCACAACTGCAACCAGATTTTCAGAGGACTCCATGTGTTCCAAAGTTCAGAACCAACACTTTAAATTGGCTAGAAAAATGTCCTCAGGAGATGTATCACTCTAATTTTCATCTAATATCTCTATCCAAAGAGCAGGGTAAATATATGCATATTAATGACAGCACTTAGAATATATATGTACGTATATATTCCAACTATATATAGTTTTATTAAGACAATTAATATATATTATAAATATTTCATTAAGATAATTAATCTTATATATAGTTTTATTGAGATAATTATATATATGTATAATTTGTATTTTAGCTTATATTTACATTTCAAGAACAAAGAAGGCTTTGATATCTTGGATTCCCTGGAGTGACTCTTTGGTAATGCTAGCATTAGGGCTTTTCTTAGCGGTTGCCTAGAACAGACAAATCTCAGACTTTTAGAATAACCCTGGGTTTTTGTTTTTGTTTTTTTTTTTTGAGTTGGAGTCTCACTCTATCGCCCAGATTGGAGTGCAGTGGCCACTCCCGGCCACCGCAGCCTCGACCTGCTGGGCTCTGGCGATCCTTCCGCCTCAGCCTTCTGAGTAGCCGGAATTACAGGCACACGCTACCACGCCCGGCTGATTTTTTTGATTTACTGTAGAGATGAGGTCTTGCTGCCCAGGCGGGTCTCGAACCTGCGGGCTCAGGCAATCCACTCACCTCAGCCTCCCAAAGGCGCGGGATTACAGGCTGAGCCACCGAGCCCAGCTAACCCTGGGTTTTTTTAAAAGGACTAGTTCACAAATTCTACCTTCAAAAAACCAATCTCAGAATAAAGACGCTATGTGTAGTCCCTTCCTCAGTGCATGTTAATGGTCTATCACCTTGTTTCAATGTTACCAAGATGATGCCTTTGAAATTAAATGTACGTACATTTTCCTCATGAGGGCTAAGTAACCTTTAGCAAGAAAGTATGGATTAAGATAATAAATCTGCCCAAAGTGGAACCGTCAGCTTCTTTACTCTCAAGTCACTAATCATTTATTATATAAGAGTATAGGCACAGAGTATAAAACTATCATGTGCTGAGGACCCTCGCACTAATAAATGAGGACAGAGAGTGAGGAGAATAATAAATTTCTGTACATTTCCAATACCTGAAATATTCGCTTTTCAGCTCCTCTCTGCTTGATGTATTCTTTGGGCAGAAATTCCTTTAGACTGAGAGAGAGAAATTTTAGAGGTAAGGCATTTATCATCTTCTGTGATAAGAAGCAAAGCAAAGACAAGCCTTTTTAATAAAACTCACAGTTAAAAGACTAACTCTCCTAATATTTTATGGAATAATTAATAACAGACTGCTGTATGCTACAATACACTAAATAAAGACACGGACATAAACCCAGTTTGATTTTTTTTTTTTTTAAAAAAAGGTCAAACTAACATTTAAAGAAGACAGAACTTCCAGGATATATTTTAAAGTAAAAAAAAAAAAAAAAATTAATGGCTGGGCGCAGTGGCTCACACTTATAATCCTAGCACTTTGCGAGGTTGTGGTAAGGGGACAGCTGAGCCCATGGGTTCAAGACCAGCCTGGGCAACTTGGCGAGACCTCATCTCTACAATAAATAAAAAAATTAGCTGGGTATGGTAGCGCATACCTGTGATCCCAGCTACTTGGAAGGCTGAGGCAAAAAGATCACCTGAGCCCAGGAGGTTGAGGTTGTGATAACTGTCAGCGTGTCACTGCACTCTAGCCTGGGTGATAGAGTGAGACTCCAACTCAGAAAAATAAAAATATATAAATACAACAAGATCACGAGATCACAAGTGTCTACAGTATGCTACCCTTTGTAAAGAAAGAAAGAAAAATGTTTTATTTGAAAAACTTTTTACAATTAGCTATGTTATCTATTTTAAAATAACAGAAGCCAAAATATAGTACTAATAAAAGTGGTTCTCCATGGGAAGAGGGGGAAAACAAGGAGGAGAGGACAAGGGTAGAAACCAAACCCTGTGCATTCCTTGTATTATAGATTTCACTTTAAAAACACATGGACTATAAGAATCTTAGAAAACACAAGAGACACCCTTATGGGGTCTCCTGATTCCTGATCAGAACCAATTCCTGATCAGAACCCTAAGTGCCCACACCATAAGAAATAAGAGAGTGGGACCTCATCAAACTGACAGGCTTCAGTAAAGCAAAAGAAACCATCAAGAAAGCAGGGAGACAGCCCACAAAACGGGAAAAAAATATTTGCCAACTGTATATCTGACAAAGGCCTAACATCTAGGACCTACAAGGAACTCAAATGCACCGAAAGGAAAAAAACAAACAGCCCCATGAAAAAGTGGCAAAAGACATGAAAAGACATTTCTCAAAAGAAGACATACGGGCAGCCAACAGACACATGAAAAAGTGCTCAGCCTCACTCATTATCAGAGAAATGCAAATCAAACACACTGAGATACCACCTAACCTCAGTAAGAATGGCCATCATTAATAAAACAAACAACAACAGATGCTGGCGAGGATGCAGAGAAAGAGGAATGCTTCTACACTGCTGGTAGGAGTGCAAACTAGTGCAACCTCTTTGGAAATCAGTGTGGCAATTTCTGAAAGAACTGGAAATTGACCTTCTATATGACCCAGCAATCCCGCTATTGGGAATATACCCAGAGGAACACAAATCATTCTACAAAAAAGATACCTGCATACGTATGTTTGCTGCAGCTCTATTCACAATAGCAAAAACATGGAACCAACCATGCTGCCCACTGAAGCTGGACTGGATTAAAAAAAATGTGGTACATATACACAGTGGAATATTATGCAGTCATTAAGAAGGACAAACATATGGACTTTGCAGCAACTTGGGTGGATTTAGAGTCAATCATACTCAGTGATCTATCATAGAAACAAAAGAACAGAGATCATATGTTCTCACTCATAAGCGGACCTTGAACAATTATAATACTATAAGAAAGGAATCGGCAGTAGTGGGAAACTGGTGGGGGGGGAGGGATTGGCAGTTGAGGGAAACTGCTAGGGGAGGGAGGGGCACATCTCATCAACAAGGGTACCCACATAATCAACATCTGTATACCTAACCCTAAATTGTACCCCACATCTTTATAATAAAAATAGAAGGAAAAAAAAAAAGAAAAACACACATGAAATCTAAAGTAGTAATACTTAAAAATCTAAAGCAAACTCAAACAAATGAACTTAACAGTGTATCAAGTTGACAGCATAACTATAGGGAGAATAATTATTTCAAATAACCCTGAAAAACAGTGTTTTAACTATATATCCCTAGTGGATATCTATCTATCTATCTATCTATCTATCTATCTATCTATCTATCTATCTATCTATGTATCTACTGTTATTATTATTTTTTAAAGAGACATTGTCTCACTCTGTCACCCAAGCTGGAGAGCAGTGGTGAGATCATAGCTTACTGCAACCTTGAATTCCTGGGTTCAAGTAATCTTCTCGTCTCAGTCTCCCGAGTAGATATGACTACAGGTGCACACCACCACACCAGGCTAATTTTTTAATCTTTTTGTAGAAATGCCATGTTGCCCAGGCTGGTCTCAAACTCCTGGCCTCACATGATCCTCCCACCTCAGCCTCCCAATATAGTGGGATCTATCTTAAGGACAAAATGAACCCGAACAGAACTATCAGTAAAAATACTGATACCAATATTTAAAAATTAGCAGCCTCCCTCCTCTCTTTACACACACAAACATAATATAAAATTAGGATAGTACATTATATATAAGTAGGATGCTGTATATAATTTGTATAAGGTAAGTAATTATGTTCACTGTTAGAAACCAAGATTTTCAGCATAAAATAGATAAAAATAAATAAAAAGCAAAAAGCCTTGACTGAAAACCCTACAGCCTTTCATTTGAATTAGAAATATTGGCTTGAAGGCTTGATTTTTATTTTTCTGGAAAACATTATTTTCTAAGTGTATCCCCTGAAGTGGCTAGGAGCAAGGACACTGGTGGCAATAGCATCCTTCCCAGTGCCGTGGTCAGATGGTCTGGGGCAAAAAAAAAAAAAAAAAAAGTATAAAACGTTCCTAGAACTTCTTGTACCTTGAATCAAGAAAGCCACCAAGATGATACAGGAGCCAATACATGGATTCCTACTGGCCAAAAATGGGATGGTTTTAAAAACTTTACATAAAAGAAAAGAGAACACAGTAATGAGCCCATCCATCAACAATTACTGACTCATGGCCAGTCACGGCTCACCTCCTGTCTTCTCTACCCTCATACCCTCCCCTGTATTATTCTGAAGAAAAACGGAGACATCATATAATTAATTTCATGTGTTGGGTGAATTTGACCATCAGCAAAAGGATGGCTGTAAATAGGTTAAAACACAGATACATAAAATCCCTAAAGACTAAAAAAACTGGTCACCTTGGAACGTAGCTTAGAGTACCAACTCACACCCCAAACTGGTAAGTCAAGGGAAAAGAAACAAGCATTTATTTTGACATTTCTACCTGCTGATGAGGAAGAGAATCATAGTTAGTAAACATAGATGGAATAATAAAAGTCCCAGACCATTTTACAAATCAATGGAATAATTGACAGATTAAAGCAAATTTCAGTGATTTCAAAAACCAATAAAGGACATGCTGATGGGTAACTTTATAATAGATGGATCAGTCTGATAACATCTAAACCCACTGATCAATTTTAATATTAATAAAAGTAGGATAACCTGACAATCTATGCCACCTGATGGCTGCAAAAGGAAGTATACAGCACGACCTAGGCGGTGTCCTTGGCTATAAAGAAAGAGGAAGTAAATACACAACCAAAACCAAGGTTCATTAAGCCCCTGGATCTAATATTAGTTTACAAACAGAGGAGTAAAGGAAAATGTTCAGTGACACCATCAGGATACATTCAACCAAACCTCAACACAGGAAGTTCTATAAAAGGAACCCAGGTTCCTCACAGATACATGGTTTTGGAGGGGGAATGCAAAGAAGGACACAGTAACAGATTAAAAGACATCAAAGACACACAATTACCACAAAGCTACAGTAACAAGGACAGTACAGTATCAATATAAGAACAGACATATAGGTCAAGGGGAAAGAATTAAAAGTCCAGAAATTAACCCTCAGTTTTATGTTCAATTGATTTTCAACACAGATTCCAAGACAATTCAAATGGGAGGAAAGAACAGTTTTGTTTTCTTTTGTTTTTAAATAGATGGTGTTGGGACAACTGGATATCAGCATGCAAAAGAAAAAAGGTGAACTACAGCAAAATTAAAAACTTTTAAAATTGCAAATAATACCACCAAAAAGTGAAAATACAGTTCACAGAATGAAGGAAAATATTCGCAAATTATCTATCTGTTAAGGGAATTGTATCCAGATTACATACAAACCCTTACAACTGAATAATAAAAAGACAACTCCCCCAATTAAAAAATGGGCCAAGAATCTGAACAAAGAAGAAATACAAATGGCCAAGAAGCACATGAAAACATGTTCAACAGTATAACCCATCGGGGAAATGCAAATGTGATATACCACTGCACACCCACTGGGATGGCTACAATAAGAAAGATGGCCAGTCAAGGGCATGGAGAAATTGGAACTCACACACCACTGGCAGGAATGTAAATGGGTACAGCTGCTGTGAAAAACAAGCGTGGTAGTCCCTTAAAATATTAAACCACAGTTCCACACCTTGGTAAATATCCAGAAAAATTAAAATATGTTTTCACAAATGCATATACACAAATATTCATAGCAGCATTATTCATAAGAGGCAAAAGGAAGAAATAACTCAAAGGTCCATCAGTTGATGCATAAATAAAATGTGCTATCCACAGGATGGACAATTATTTGAAAAAGCATTTGGCAGCCGGGCTTGGTGGCTCAGCCTGTAATCCCGCGCCTTTGGGAGGCTGAGGTGAGTGGATTGCCTGAGCCCGCGGGTACGAGACCCGACTGGGCAGCGAGAACTCATCTCTACAATAAATCAAAAAAATCAGCCGGGCGTGGTGGCGCATGCCTGTAATTCCGGCTCCTTGGAAGGCTGATGTGGAAGGTTCGCCGGAGCTCAGCAGGTGGAGGCTGCTCGACCACTGCACTCCAGGCTGGCTGACAGAGTGAGACTCCGACTCAAAAAAAAAAAAAAAGAAAAAGTATATGGCAATGTAAAGG